CTTGGAGCCCCTCACCAGGTGACCCACTTCGGGTACCCTGGGCCAGTGAGTTTGACAATGGAAGAAGGTGAGGGCAAGCCCTGCTTTTGGGTCTCTGGCCTGTGCACAGGGTGGGGAGGGGGATCATCACCTTTACTGCCTAGGACCCTGGACCAGTGTCAGACAACCTGGGCTGTCTCATGTAATCCATCATTCCCATGCCTTCTGGGAATGAATGAAAATGAGTTGAGCACATGGAGATGAAGCAGATGGTTGGGTGGATTCCATGATGGATGAAGAGCAGAGAACTCCACAAGGCGGAGGCTCCTGATCCCGCTGTGTCGGACTCAGTGCCAGCTGTCAACAGCTGGACAGTAGAGAAGGAACCACGTTGTGATTAATACTCCATCTGTCAGGGACTGTCAGCTCTGACAAATAATACCAATGGCTCGCACTTGCAAAGTGCTTTGAGTTTTCAACATTCCTTCCCCTTGTAATAACCCTTAAGATGGGAAGGCCAAGAGGTAGTAACCCTGTTATATAGAAGAAGAAGTGAAGATGCAAAGAGGTTCGGTGACTTGCTCATACCCACAACTCTTGGGAGGGTGGAGCTGGGAGGCCAGGCTGGGTGTCCTGGCTTGGAATCCAGTCTTCTCTCCACCAGGCATCTCTGAAGCCTACTGCCCAGGTCAACAATCAGTAAGTGTTGATGTACCACCTACTCTGGGCCCGTCACTGGCTAGCTGCTCGGGGGTGGAGCGGGGAGGGACAGAAGAATGTAACACATGAACCTTGACCTCAGTGAGCTCAGAGCAACCTAAAGCATTTTGTTCAGGCACCTGAGCAGGTGGACAGCCCCTGAGCCATCGAAAGTAGAGGTGGCTCAGCCAGTGGAGAACGCTTCAGGGAGGGACAGGGCTGGGCTGGTCCTGAAGCGTGAACTGTGTTGGAAAGCCTGGGAAGGTAGGGATGGAGGGTGGGCAGTGGGCAAAGTCTCAGTGGATAGGTGTGGGTGTAGAGCAGTAAGAAGAGACAGAAGGGAGGGTGGGGGTCAAGGTGAAAGAAAGCAGGACGGAGAGGGTGATCCCATGGCAATGAGCAACCAATGACCTTGAGCAAGGAGGTGAAGGCCATACTCTGGGTATCCAGCTGACTTTCATGGGGCTATGCTGCAAGATGGGGAGACAATGACAACTGGGGAAGGGTCCCTCCCTCAGGAAGGTGACAGGTGGGATTGCCTTATTTTCATCTCAGACTGAATGGCTCCTCGCCATGAAAAGGAAAATTGGGGGGGGGGGGGGGGGGGGACCCCAGTTCACCTAGTTCAGTATCTGGTTAAAACTGTAGTCTTACTTCCCCACTCTGACTGACTTGGGCGGAGCTGCAGAGCCTAACCCCAGGGCCCCACATAGCTGACTTGGGCGGAGCTGCGGGGACCCTCAGGGGCCGCCACAGGAGGAGATATATAGGTCAGAGCCTCCCTAGGAGTTCAGTTCAGGCTTTGAGTCCGGAATTCCCCTGGACTAGCAGATCTGAGAAATAAAGGTTAAACTTTCCTCCCTCAGAATGTCGGCTGATTGTTCTCCCGTGCATTCTGCCACAACCACTACACTCCAATAGCATGAGACATCTTTCACTATTTGGCTCTCAGGAATCAGCCTTCCAGTTTTCTAAGGTTTGTTTTTGTTTAAATTATAAACAATTCTGTTTACTACCTTAGCTTATCATTTCCGTCAGTGTGTTCCGCAGGACACACTAGCCCTGTTCTCTGCTCAATTTAGAATGAAGAAGCCTTACTACTCATCCCTCTCTTGGAGACTCACAGAGCTCAGTAGCATCTTAAAGGCTCTGATAAGTCCTGCAGCTAAGAAACACCTTTTGTTTTGACCAGAAAATCCTTTTTCCAGAAAGTTCAAGAACATCTTATGTAACCAGTGGGCTCACAATCACGGCCTTATCCCACTCAATTCTCACAACTGCCCTGGAATATCAGTTATTATATTTACGTCCAATGAGAATACTGAGACCAAGACGTGTAGTCATTTGCCCAAGGATACACAACTAAGAATGGTCAGATTCAAGTCCAGGATTTGATCCTATAAGTCTGAGGCTTTGTCCCTAACTACTTCTGAAACTTCTTTTGAAGATGTTATTGTACTTTTCCTAATGAACAAAGCACGCCTAATTATTTTGGGGAAAAGATACAGAAACTTATGGAGGAGGAAATGAAAACCACTAGGAATGACTTAAAGCTGATCAGGCATAGATCACCCTAGAGGCCTGGGCTGCTTTCCAATTCGGAGGAACTGCTTTCCCTGGACCCATCCACCCTCCCTCCGATGTAGCTCCTATTGGCAGAGGATAGTGCGGCTAGTGGCTGGAGGTGGTTGATGGATTTCAGTTAAGATCAGATGGTTGCCACCCTGGCCAGTGTGCTCAGTGGTTAGAGTGTAAGCCCTCACACCAAAGGATTGTGGGTTTGATTCCTGGCCAAGAGCACCTAGCTGGGTTGCCGGTTTGATCCCTAGCCCTAGGTTGGGGTACATGCAGGAGGCAGCCAATCAATGTGTCTCTCTCACATCAATGTTTCTCTCTCTCTTCCCCTTCCTCCTTCCCACTCTCTCTAAAAAAATCAGTGGAAAAAATATCCTCAGGTGAGTATTAGCAACAGCAACAAAAATAAATCAGATGAGTGCTTTGAGATAAACAATAAATCAGAAAACATTTATACTATTGATCAAACAAAATTTTATAAAAACCACAAAAGTTAAATTCCCATATCATTTTGTGTGTACAATAATTTTTACCAAAACTATCTCCTGAACAAGACCCAAATTGATGAAGTGCATGGTATAATTAAACAATAATTACATTTTAAAACAGTAAATCCAAATTCAATATTTTGAGAGATTACACACTTTTCAGCATTATATTCCAACAACAGAAAAAGAT